ATATAATTATTTTAATTTATTCAAAAAAAATCGAATTCTACCTAAATCCGAGGTTGACGAGAACGCCGTTCATCTTATCTGATCACTGAATCGTTTGATTTGATCCTTTAGATTTTTAAAATCTCACTGTTTTCGACAACTCCCTCGGTTATTGGTTTTCATCGATAGTTTCGTTAAGGGTTTCTGTATCATAAACTGCAAAGTTTCCAACAAGAGTGATTGGAGTGATAGATTTTCTCCCAGTCAGTACACAGGGATGGTGTAAATATCGATTTTCTCTTATAGTGTATTCTGCTCCACTTTATTTTCAGCACTTTTCGATCCCATTATCCGAGTTTGTAATCGGTGCTTTGTTATTTGACGGGTTTTAGAATCTGAGGGAAATCGATTATCCGGTATGCGACGGTTAACATTTCCACCGTATCTTCTGATGCAGGATTCATAACATGCCCAGATGCTATCACAGTCTTTACAAATATCGTCTCTACGGTATTCGCCATCGCATACAATTCTTTAATTCAGTCAGGAGTCGTTCTCCATGTCAGAGATACCGACGTCCGATTTAATGACTGATATAATGATAATACTATTTTCAGCCTCATTTAGACGAAGGTTTTTCAAGTTCGATGATAATCAGTGATCTTATGAAATAGTCATAGCTTAGGGTCTGTTTGCATTTGTGTTAAGTGATTTCGTAGAGATACTCTGCTGTGCAATTTCGATTAGGATTCAGCAGCATTGCCGTGAGCTATGTCTGTGTGAAATATGCTGATATCTCTGTATCCGCGATGAAATTTCGCTATAAAAAATGTTTCCAAGGAGCTGAAATTTTAAATAATTAGGATTAATTATTAAATTAATTACTACTGCTCCAGAGTTTAAAGTTATCCGAAGTAGGCTCCTAACCTGCATTCCGTCTCTCATCATGAACTGATTTCGATGTCTTTCCTAGGTCATTTGTAGTCACTTTTGAGATTTTGGTCATGACATCTATCATTGGCGACTGGCGGGCAGCCAACCCTTCGACCTAACCGAGGGGTTTCCTGCAACATTTTTGAGGCTCTCACTCGCTTCATATTTACCTCATTTCAAAAGCGGTAATTAAACGGTACTTAAAATGGGTGTTCTTTAAATCGGATGTCAATCATGTCCATAATATAGTGTAAATGTTTAATCGCCTTAATTTCGATCAGATATACACTCAGGAAATCTACATGCGTTTAAACCTTCACGTTAAACAGCACTTGGTAGCGGCACGCCGCGTACCTATAGAATGCTCAGGCAGGAATCGCGCTGCATGTTATTTCAGGAGTAAAATTTATAGAGGCTGGTATTTCAGTAATTTACATATATTACAGCAGGCTCGAGTTAATTAATTAGTAGGTTCACGTTTATTGTTACGGAAAAGAACATATATGCTGTGATTATTCAGCAAGGATATATACATAAGCCAAACCAGGGATGTAGTTAATAATTTCATTCTACAGCTTAATGACAGAGAACGTAGTCAGAAACTTTATCAGTAACGTGTCGCAAGAGGAGTCAGGTATCTAATGATGGCTGTGATATTGGACTCCACCCATCTTCAGAATGTATTTCTCTACAGTCTGTGATTTACTGTTGTACATATGTACCTCGTAGATGTGACCGGTTGTCAGTTACGAATGAAGCGCATATATTAATAATGTAACTTCGATCTTCCTTTAGTTTTATAAGGTGGATTTGACAGAGTCGTTTGAATCAGCTGACTGAAGATTCTGTCAGTTCCTTGCTGAGAATTAACGGATCCTTCCTTCCTTACTGTATGAACAAATATTCTCGCTGCTTTTTGAAATATGTATGATTCATTGATTCAACCTTCTTTGTATCTAGGTGATCCTGAGCTGACAACGGCGCGGCGATAGACAGGACTGTAATTTATTATACCTATATAATGCGTAATGAAGGAGTCCCAACGTAGCTTGTTTTTATATGAATACTTGTACCTAAACTATGGCCGTAGTGACAGTAAAGCACAGTGATAAGTAATTGCACATTTTGATACGTTTCATCGTTTTTATTTTCAGGCTGATCAAGGATTCGATCCACAGTTGTTCGAAAAACAGATGTCCGTTATGCGTGGTCAGTTGGTGAACTTGTGCCAGGCGTTAAAGGAGGGCAAGTCTCCGTTGCAGCTGGTGCAGATGCCTCCGATGATCATCGAAAAGACCCGTGGTTCGGGAAAGAGCAAGAGTCGCGCTCGATGGGACTCGTTCAAGCAGAGCTTTCAGAAACGGGCACCGTTTTTCTCATGCTGTTGAACAGGCTCGAACCCTGTTTGTTTACTTATCACGTCGGTACTACATCCAGTTGCTTATTGTTCAGCGACAAACAACCATGACATGACATGCTGTCTTCGTCGTTCTTCTTGTCTGTCTCTTATGATGATATTTATGCCAATACGGAAGTTGTATGATTTCCTCTCTGAAAAGTTTTTTTGCAGTCTTTTGCGGATGTTTTCCTTCATTCCATGTCTGAATTTGAATTCTCATTTACTTGTCATCTTTTACGTTATTTTTATGTTCAAAATGGCATTGGAAAGATGCTGCAATTTTTGCATTATTTTATATAGAATATGAAATACATATACTCGTTTGAGCGACGAACGGAAAGATCAGTGATGAAGTGAATTGTAGTTTATCCTTGCCCTTGAGAACTGTTGCGTTCCAGTAGTGCTGTTACGTAAAACTTTTTATTAACTGCAAATTCCGTTCAGCAATTCGTTTCACTCACTGTGCTTCGTTACAACCAGGGAAAGACGAATGAAGGCAACAGTACGAGCAAAATCCTGTTTTTTAATTGTCATTAAAACTAAATACTTTAATTTCATAAAAGGGGTGCCATAAAGCTGCAAACGTATGGAAGAACAAAATTTCATCTGTTATAAAGTCTTCCTTTCTAACGATAAGTCACCTGGATTTGTGCTTATCTGCTGCTCGTATTTTTTTTACTAGAGCGATGATCTTGAAGGACGTTGCGAGACTGATCAGAGACGGCCTAGCGAAAACGATCGTTGTTCTTGCCGGAGCGGGTATCAGCACGCCTTCTGGACTGCCGGATTTCCGGTGAGTATCAAGCTGTTAACGTAATATCGATCAAAATGCGCAATACTTTGATTGACTTGACATTATGGACATTCAGATATTAGTCGGCAACGTTGAAAGTGAATTTGTTACAAGTCAAGAGGACGATGTCGTTCATGTTTGTGGACAAGATGAAATTATCATTTTTAGACCATTTTATCAGTCTGTTTCAAACGACAAAATTTACCATCTAATAAGAACAAATGGTCTTTTAGGAGAATAGAATTAAGAAGGCGGTGCCTTTTGTCTTGTAAATGAGACATCAGTAATGAAAATGTTATATTTATGTGGTTGTCTCTAATGAACGTCAGGGTTATATTTTATGTTATTTTTTTCAATGTATTTGCATGCGGCTAGAGGCGATCTCTTTCATATTCTAACATTCCTCTGTTCATAGCGTGTGTCTGCGAACTTCTGAAATAAACCCTGTGCTGTGGAGTCGCAGTTGAGAGTCAGACGCCCAAGACCGCGGGGTAATGCAGTCACTGTCATGGCATGGAGCTCTGATGTACTTAATTCATTTTTCCTTTCAAAGCAGAAGCTAGATGGTGGTGTGTTTTCCATGCTTAATTCCATTATCAGTATTTGAAATAAAACAAATTATATTTTACATGGGTTTTTTATGTTTAGAATGAAGAATTTAAGAAACAGACGGACTATGAGCATTGCTGATGATGATTGTTAGACCCTGCAAGACCAAATAATATATCATTTGAAATCTTGTGACATGTGCGCATGCGTCGAACTAAGGAGGTGCCGAGTT